TAAATGGGACCCCTTCTTTACCCGTTGATTCGACCATTCATGCGACTCTCATCGCTGTGCCCTCTTCAACACTACGCTCTCTCAGCTATCTAATCAGTCGCCACGTATTGAACTACGGCGAGTGATCAGATGATCGGTGGGCGGAGATCGCCGGACCCGCCAGCTTTGAGGCATGATAGGTCGCCGAGGTCAAATTTTTCCATGCGAATTGCGCGTCAGTTCGCACCCTCAGGAGGTCCGTGGGTCTCAACTAGGTCAGTTCTTTTCTCAAACCATGACGTGTATCTTGGCAACCACCTGGCCCGTCACTGATGGAAGTTTGTATCGCTATAAAAACCGCCTCACTTGACCTTGAACGCTCCAAATGCGTTAACCCACTGATAACCCGAGAATCAGCGCCGATTATCATCAACGCAGCATTGAAACTGCTACTCCTCGATTTAATGAAGAACAAAAGTTCCAAAACTAAAGCTCTGTAGAATCTGTCGTTCTTATCGAACCTTACATTAGCGGGCCCTACCCTTTTTCGCTCAATCCAAAGCATATCTATGTCCCACAAATTGAGAAGATAAGAACACTGGAAACAGGCTAAATATTTTTTTTGGATTCTGAACCGAAGGATTTCTTGCGAAATGGAATAAAGTTGTAACATAAGGCGAAGGTAACATCGTTGATTAGTTTTATATTTTCAATTTTTGCTTAAAATCTTTGTAAGTAAAAATGAAAGTCCAAGCGTGACGATACCATAGTCTAACCGACTACGATCAAATCCATGGGTTGGCCGATGTCAAAGCAGCGTTTTATTTCTTTACAGCGAGTTCCGCTTCCAGCTGGATTCCGGTGTCCGGGCAGGTGGGTCACAGTCAAAGTATCCTCGGCTGACGTCTAAAAACGGAAGCTGCCCTGGAGGACGGTTAAGGTCGTGTTTGGGATTTATGAAAGACTGTAGCTGAGGACTGAATATAGTTAAAATATGAAGACGGGGTGTACGTAACATTGCTGCTCCATCTTATCTCGCTCCCTCAGAGGCATCAGCTTTTCCATCGTTATCAAGAGCCACCTTTCAGCAATGCTTTGCTTCCTATTACTTCTGTAGCTTCAAAAATTGCCCCCCCCCCACTTTTCTGGTGATTATACATGTTTCTCGTGTTCCATTTTTGAAGATTGCCATTCTTCCCTTTCGGATTATCTACTAACGCTACTAATGCAGATTTACATTTCTTATCAGAGTTTCGTTAGAGTACTTTCTGAGTTCTAGGCCGATAAGAAAACGTTTGAGCTGAGGAGTCTCTCATGGTCCGCATTTTCATCCTGTTGCTGATTGCTGGAATGGCAGTAGCGAAGCCAACTGCGCGGATGTGCGCAACGTTCGCGAAATTCGTCGAGAAATGGAATCCGCTCCCAGAGACCCTGCTGTCTTGGTCCAAGTCACAAGCAAACTGCGACAAAGTTCAGCCACGTCCTCGTGAGATGACATGCGAGGACATTCAACGTGTGAGAATATTTGCATTTTTCAGTAATTTCGTCTCTATACTCCGATATTTAAGAAGCTTATCTGATTCTTAACTTTGTTCCAAGTTTTGGTTAGATATACCGGCGGCTAGTAATCGTTACTTCTTCTTGAAATAGTAGGGGTCTTCTCGGTCCTTACGACTGCTACGTGGTTAACTCATTCCTAATTTGCAACACCTCAAATATGGGTAATTAGTCTACAATGCAATATTTTTTCAACCTGAATCACATGCACGATAGAAAATCAATATACTACATAAAGGACCTAGTGAAAAATGAGCAAAATCGAACCCAAACAGAACCAAAAACCTATTTCCCGTGAGCGAGTCGCTCTACTCTTCTAGATCCAAAAGGTGTGAAAAAAGGTGAAAAGATGGAAGTCGCATTGCAAGAGAGAGTATCGCAAGGAGAGTTTTGTCGCCAGACATAGCTCGATCACAAAAGGAACATTCATAGAAAGAAGGGAGCGGTAGAACACGAGCTCATTCTAGTCTACGTGTATTTATACTCTTCTTCTTAAGAGCTGGTCGTCTTCTCACAGCATTGCCCTCGAAGTTTTGCCGGTAATATTCCACCTCAGCTACTGCATAGAAACATGAGTAGATAGCATATTCTGATTGTGTAGGCGTCAAAAGGGAATTTCTCTCATTCACGGACTCCCAGATTCCGCTGAGGGAGACAACTTGGGAATTCTTCCTTGCTCACTCCGCGATATTTTCTTTGTTATTCCTCTAGTGCTCGTGATATAAGTCCGATGACTTCCTGAAAAAGCAACAACTCCTTATAGAACCATTTTTCTTCTTCTTTCTTTTTATCTTTTAGGCTGATTTCACAATTTTTCAACCTCTGATCACCTTAGAGACGATCGGTTTGTGAGAAATGAGTCCTAGTCTTGTAGTTCAGCCGTTTTGTTGAAGCGGACCGGATCTCAGTATGTGAGAATATGAACAACTGCGTAAAGCATATACTTTTTTGTTTTAGCACAATAGAAACTCTACTCCTTTCGACTCTTCCCCCCCCCTCACTGCATGATGACAATCTCCTAGATGGGGGCTCTTTTGAAGTGTTCCAAGTTGGACTTCGCTCTACAACACTGTGAGCACATAGGGCTTTTATTGATGCATTGATCATGGGGGGAGGGGGTAGATGATGGAAAGAAGTCGTTTCGCTGCGAGACTCCATCAGGGAGACCTCCATGTACACTACTGCTATATCGACCACCATTGTTTCACACAAGAACGTTTCTTATGAAATGTGACCACAATAAACTGTAGAATGTAAGGCTTGGATGATAAAGAAGAAAGAACAAGAAAGAGACTTGTACCCTGATAGGTTCCTTTTTTACAGACTAAGACCGTTGAGGAACGTAAGCACCCGCGAAAATTTTGGCTTTGGAAGACGCACGCGTCGCGTCGTTTGTTTTGTTAAAGAAGCACATAATTTATTCAGTTCATGCGCCGACCTGCAACTACGGGAGTGACGGACCTGATGCAGATGAAGGTGAAGTGTATCGTAGAACGTCCGAATCCGAGCGATCACGTACGATACTCATATCACCAGGTAAGAGTAGTTTTCTTTCTTTTAACTCCACCGGTTTCTACAAAACTTGGGCTATTTTGAAAAATCTGCACTTCTCTTTTCCATGCCATTCTCTGCGGCCGCTAGCCCCCCACCTATGAGCTTCTGCCTTCTACCTGTCGTCCAGTTTTGAAACGTGTCTGCATATCGGACATCCGTTTTTACCGATTGCATCGGGTGTGCCTACAAATGTACGGCTCCTTTCTTGCAAAACTAAACGGTGACGTCGCTCTGCAGGGCAGCGCATCATTACCAGGGAGGCTCTCTCCATGTATGCCGAGAGCTTTTTCAACGTCATCCTCGCATAAGCATGGGGGCAAACATCTTGGGAAGGCACAGAGACCCTGTTAGTTTTTCTAAAACTCTCAGAATGCCAAAAAAGAGGGGGCGGGTCCCAGGTTCGATTCCTCGTGGTTGACTTTAGCTCAACTCTATTTGCATTTCGAGTTGACTGTTCAAAATTCGCGCAAAATGGAAAATAAGTTAGCATGAACTATCATATTCATACAAATTTGGCGTCAGTAACCACGTCAACTCGAAATGCAAAAATTTGTCACCACGAGGAATCGAACTAGGGACCCCCTTTTCTGGTATTCAGAGGGCCGTTCAGGAAAAATTAACCATGGTTCTGTGGTTCCCGCATGTGCCCCTATATCATGCAAAAGACCGTTTTCAAAAAGCTTGTCACGCCCTGAAAGACCTTCCTGGTTAGCTCCTTCTAGGTGGATTAGCTCCTTCTAGGTGTACCCTCATAGTTTCCAGTCATAACATTCCTCATTATCTCATTATTTACTGCTTGATGTGGAAGTCCTCAATGAAATCGACCTTGTTGGCGTGGAATCTTTGTCATGGAACGGAGCAACGAAGCAGAGAAGAATCTCTTTAAGACTGACCACGAAAGACATCTCAGTCAATACACAGCTCAGAATTTGAGGAAAAAATTATCGCTATTAACATCAAGAAATTTTTTCAGAGTACCTACGGTAACTATCCTAAAGTACTCGGTAAGTACATCTACTACAATGCGGCCACCGCTTCCGACTATGGACAGTTCGGAAACTGGTAAAGAGATCTCATTTTGTAATCAATCGCAACTAGTTTTTCAATTGAACCCAATATTTTCAGGTACTACCCGAATTATTACCCACCGTCATACCTCGGCTACTTCGATGGTCGAGAACAGAGTCTGGCTCAATTAGAGAACGACTATAAATTCGCAAAAGGAGGCCATTATCCCTACAACAGGTAATTTTTCTCTGATATTAGGGCTCAGGTGGAGTTGGTGCAGTCGACGGCGCACGCTCTGCAAAGTAAATATCAGCTAATTTGTAACTCAGGCCAGCTACAAACTCTAATCATCCCACTCTGGGGTTAGTCAAATAAAGATTCTATGATAAGGGAGAGGTCGAAGAAAGGGAACTTGCCTATTAAGACGGCAGGTGGATCCAGTAATCGTGCGGGACAATGCGCGATGGCAGCGATGGGCTATGCCCTCAGCGACCTAGCAGGGCCATACTCGCGCCGCTCGCTTCGCAGCCCACCCACCGATGGCTAAGCATTCGTCGTCAGACTCTAGCCGCAGACTCCACGGCTTCATTGAGTTGCAGAGCCGAGCGCTCGCACTGATGGCGTCAGCATCGATGAGCTCCAAAGCGGGAATCAACATCCTACTAGAAGTGGTAAGTTGAGTTGGATCTAGGTCATTTTTATTGGCTTTTTCTTCATCCGTTCACCACCAGGGTGAAAATCGTGTCGAGTACGTGGTCGCAGAGGTACGACCCCCCCCCGAAATCGAGATCCTGGCACGACCCCCTCTAACAGAGCAAATTAATTCAATTAATTAATCAAAAAAATCCTGCAAAACAAATCAAAAAAAATCTGCAAAATAATGTTATGGACGCCTCATCTTGTCATCTATGCACTGTCTTTCATCGCTGCACACTTTTGTATTTACTGAAATATCGACTCGAGGAAAGAGGCATTAACTTTGTGTGACCTCAAAGTCAGGTTCGTTCAGAAATGCACAGAAATCCTGAACGGGGTTGCGATTTAATCTTAATTCCTGCTTGAGTATATCGAAACAGCCGAGTGTATCAATCAACGGCCGATTCAACGGCAGCTGCGGCGCGATTGTCACTGGGTCAGATTTGCTGAAATCCCGAAAAAAAAAAACCGTCGAAATCTACACATAACCTTTGAAGCAGTTTGAGGTAGGGTTAGATAGAGCTGGATTTCGCGTTTCCAAGAAGTATTGAAATTGCTCCTGAAAGCACTCGAAGTTGCAGAATCGATTCGAAGGTGTCATATGATCATGACCAGTTGACAGAAGCTGCATTGTAGTAAACGCATTTCGTAACTCCTACAACCTAAAGAACAACTTCATTTGCCCAGGGCTTTTCCTTCACGGTTGTCGTTTTTGCGTATTAAGGGAGAAGGAGCGAGCGATAGGCAGAGGAGGTGCCTTTGCAGCGCGTGCGCACATGTGGCAGTCTTCTTTGCGGGGATGCACTTTCATTCTTTGTACTGCCTTCAAATACGCCCTTCTCATGAAGGTGGAGGAATGGAGCGACTGAACCTGCAAAGAAAATTTAATATCATGTTTTTTCAGATATTTTCATTTTCTGCTGCGCTATACCCTCTTACCTATCTGCACCACGATACCACTGCTGTTACTGACCCCCAAGAGTACGACCCCCATGTCGAGGATTTCCTCGACCGATATTCATGCGTCTGCGGTC